GTCAAATGAAACTAATGAAGTCAAAAAAATTGATCGTCTGCACATTTTCAGAATTGATGTTTAATGGAAACATTCGTACGAAGCAAGCCAAATAAGCTGGACAAATATAATTTTTTTTTTTGATTTCAGCAGAAAATGTCGAACTATTTTAATCCTAGAAATGAAGAAAATAGTTGAGAAAACGTATAGATAAGCCGGCATTCAACACACAGATACTCACACACAAACGCACACACAGTTTTACGGCCATCAACAATCTTAACAACATAAGATACGCAGGTGACACAATACTGATAGCAGACAATGGAAAGAAATTACAAAATCACCCACAGAAAGTAGCGACTGAGAGTTGAGAAGAATGGACTAAGCATAAACTACAAGACAAAATACATTGTCATCAGTAAAAGAATGAGTTCGAAATGCGAATCAAGCAGACGCGGAAGTTTAAATATCTAGGAAACATTTTGAAAAAGGACGGTAAGTGAGACACTGAGATCCATAGACGTATTGGGATGTCCAAGGACGCATTCCAAAATCTGGGGAGGGTATTGCGAGACAGAAGGATTTCTTTCGTAACAAAGAAAAGAATACTGATCCGTTACGTGACATATGTCCTTCTTTAAGGAAACGAATGCTGGGCGATTTCCTCATAGATGAAGAAGAGACTCGAGGTGATGGAGATGTGGTTCTATAGAAGGATGCTAGGGATGCACCAAACGTGTGAGCAACAATGAGGCCTTAGAGAGGTTGTAAACAAGGGGAAGGCTTATACTTAACATCAGGAAGAAGCAGATGAAGTTTCTGGGACACATGAGGAAGGAGGGTCTGTAGAGTCTGATACTCACGGGTCTAATAGAGGAAAAGCGATGCAAGGGAAAACAACGCATGACATACCTAGCAGACTTAAGCAAGTGGATGGCAGAACGTTGGCTTGGAGGAAAAGGCAGAGGTAAGGAACTTGTTGAGAGCTGCAAGAGATAGGATGTAGTGGAGAACCATGATCACCTACGATCTGAAAGTATATAGCACATAAAAAGAAAAAGACGTGGAGACACCGATATTCGTACGTGGTTAAGCAACGTCGTGTCTGGTCCGTACCTAGATGGCAATATAAGTGACCACCTGAGAATACCAAGTGTTAGCTTGGAAGAGTGGGTGGTGTCATGGATAATCGTAGAGCCGAGGTCCAATGACAACCGGGTTCGTTATATTTAATCATGCACTAATACCCTTAGGAATGGTATGAATCCACCTCTCCTCTCCGAAGACATGAGTCAATTTGTTAGACATATATCAGTAAATAATTATTATCTCCCAATAATTCTTACTATCTACAAATATTTTCTGACTTCAGCCATTTATCCTTTAAAGAGCTGATAAGCCGTACAAAAACGAATAAATCAATAAAAAATCAAAGCTGCTCATATTTAATGTAAATGTAATGCCAATCGACGTCTCCAGATGCCTTGATCTATCCACTATCCTTCTCTTCATCCTTTCGTCTATCACTCCTATTTGTTCTCACTCCAACTCTCTGTAACCCCTTGCGTGCTAGTGGCTTCCCGTCTTGCTTGGGGTGAAACGCTTAAAAAAAAAAATTAAAAAAAATTAATTGTCCTATCTGAAATGTAAACAAAGGTATTTATGAGGAAAGATATCTCGAAAGCCATCGACAGTGTTTGGCATACAGGTCTTCTTCACAAATTGAAAAATTACAGTATCTCCGGACATTTTTGAACTGGTCCAGTCTTTCTTTTCAATTCCTGAAATGAAAGTTATTCTGAATGAGCTCTCTCCCAAATCCATTCGTACTGATACAGCAGTCCCATGATGCTCTATCTTTGGTCTTAATTTGTTTTTAACTTTAATTAATGACCTTCTCGATGGCATGAGCTCTTTACTTGGTATCTGTGGAGATGACAAAACCATTTGCTCTCGATAGTAAGTCCGGTCAAATCGATAAGGTCAAGTTGCAGTAGATGTCAAAAACTGAGACAAAAGATGGCTTTTTAATTTTAACGCCTCCAAAACTAAGCTGCTCTCTATTAATCATCTGAGAGACCCATTTGTACCGTCCATCATTATGGCTGATGCTAACCTCCAGGTGAGCGATTGATTACGCTTTCTCGGGCTAACTTTTTCGGCTGACAGTTAAAGACTATGAAAGCCAAGGACATACCATATGTGATAAGAGTTCAAGTTTTGGTATAAGCCGTTTCTTTGTCCCTTCATAAATATAATTTAACAGTAGTAGGATATGTTGACCTAGAACGTGTTGATAATAATTGGCAGGTTGGGTGATTTTGCGACATGTCAATCCGTAATGATGTCGTTCCGCAGACCAATGAAACACGCCATTTATTCATACGTAACATTACGTTTTATTTAAATCCTGTCTTCGTCAGTTACTGTCGGTCATTTTTTTTTTTAAGTGCGTCACATCCGAAACGTGAACTTTACTTTCTCGTCTGCGAGGGAGACTGCCCATTTCCTCGTGTGGGTGATTATATCTCCTGTAGTACGTTTCTTTCTCACGCTTAGAAACCAGGTGCAACTGGGACAACACGTGTCCGCCTGTCGAGCTCACCACCGACATTAGGTAAATGGCAGATCCCCCACTTCCCGCTTAGTGTCCACGATGCGCTAACCTGGTGCCCGATTTTGTTAGGTTATCTAATGTTAATTTATTATAGGGCACTCAAAGTGGATCAAACTCACTACTCTTAGAAAATACAACTTTCTTTTTATTTCTTTATTTTCGCTGACCGGTGTAGATAACACCGATCACACCTACTAAACTTATTCATTAAAAAAAATCATAAGGAAAGTTGCAAGTAATATAGAAAAAACAGGCAAAATACTTATTTATTTTCATTCTGCAGATGGTGAATGTGTGTTTTGTGATGCCAACGAACACTCTTTGTCACTTTCGTAATACTAGTTGTAGTAGAGACTTTGTAATCGCAGATACAACTATAGTACGCCGTTGAACAATACTGGTGTCAGACGCCTACGAATATCTCTCGCACTAATAGTACTTGCTTGATAATACTCGCTAGAATAGTAATCCGTATAGTAAAATAGTACAGAGAATAGCAGTCCGTATAGTAATAGAGGATAGACTAGAAATGACGATCGTTAGTCGTCAGCTACTTCCTACATATATGCGTTTTCTCTATGGCCACGTGGTCTACTTAATTCAATAATGGGATCGCTAGTGTTTGTTCACTGGCGATCTATTTTCAAACTCAAGTGTCGGCAGCGAAACTTTATTCCTATATAGCAGTGTGGTTAGCGTAATTATAAAAATCCCAGAGACAAGTACTTCGTGTTTATTTTCTCCTTAATATTTTATATATGTATAAAAATCGAATCGGTAAGTTTAGTTCAAATCGCAGCCTTGATTATGACGTTCATTTCACAATAATGCTATTGGAAAAAGCATGAAACCATCTCTCCTTTAAGCTATTAGTGTATTTTGGCTTTCTACGCTTGGGTGGTAGCTAGTCTAGGAGAAAGATTGCTCTAAATGAACGCAGAGAAGACAACGGGAATGCACGCTACTATTTTCCTAAGAAGGAAGCACGGTGGATTAATGGATAGCGGTTTGGATTGAGGAATCGGAGAGCCGAGTTCGATTTCCAGTCGAATCCATTATATTCACTTACGTGCTAATAGCCCTGGGAAAAGTATTAATCCTCTTCTTCTTCCTCCAGATATGGTTAAATAGCAGGACAGACTGGGTTCTATAGCCTTGGATGGCAACTAGTCTAGAAGGACAACAAACCCGGCGTGGAGCCCCTAAGGCGGATGGACGGCACTTTGTGCTATCTTCCGGCAACCCCTGCAGCCGTGCTGGTACCAAACTGTATTGGTTTATCCTCTCCTTTGGACTCTGCTAGCAAGGCCGAGAGGGGGAACTAGACGTTCGGGCAGCCCTAGTTCTCCATACATCCCGGCCAGGCTCGTAGCACACCGCGCTACTCCATCGTCTCTCGAGACGGACGGATGCCGACGACAATTTTTCTAAGAATTTCTGTCAAACAATAAATAATAAAGAAAACAAAATCTGTGGAATCCATTATAGCCTATCCCATGAAAGGTCATGGCATTTGTAAAAAAAGAAAAGGAAAATAAATTGATAATATGCCATTGTTTCTATATCGACTATATTTAAATATTCACATGAAGGAAAGAAAAATACTCCAAGTTGATTTCTGGTTGCATGATTTCACAACCTGTCAACACCTGTTGAGTTATTTAATCTCGAAATTTGGTGAGGATCGAACTCAGTACTCAACAGTAATGGTCAGTCAGACTAGCCCAAATAAACATTGCTCATTGAAAATAATTCACAGTCACTATTCCTCTGTGTAACGATTATATATGATTGCAGTGACTTACCAATAACAACTGCTGAATGTCGATGCAGGTGTAAGTTGATGTCTCAGACAATATCACGAAACTGCAGAAAAAATTCAATAACATTCGATCGGAAATATATATTCACTGATAATAATGAAAAAAAGAAAACGTTCTAAAAAAAAAAAAATTGAAAATGACACTCACATTAAATTTTTGTATGAAGTCTTTTTTACTTGAAACGATCACGCAATGTTTACATGAACGTCCCTTATAAAAGTTCTACTGAAATCGAATACTTGTTACGCGAATCGCTATCGCTCAGTAAACTTTTGCTTGTCTATTTTTCATTTGTTCGTTGTAGCCAAAAACTAAACTTCCCAAGTGGAAAGATTTAAGTTTTTTTTTTTTTTTGTTTTTTTTCATTGCAAAAAAGAATAGAAATAAATAAATTCCATTAATCGTGTTTATTTTTCATTTTCTTTCTCATTTTTTTTTTTTGGCCTATCATATTTCGGTCTTTTATTCATTCATTTAAATCGCTGGTGGATATCTACAAAAGTCGACAGAGAAAAAAACATGTTTTTGTATTTAATAATGTTTAAGATACGTGTGTTTTCCTTGAAGTGGATTACAAATCAGTCTGCCAGAAGGACGGAAGTAGATAGGTTGACCTTGTTTGGCACGTCCACAGTTTTCTCTGCGTAGAGACAAAGAGCTATTAATAGATGAATAGACTAAGGGACAGATAGGCATATATATTTACAGAAAAAAATAGTTGACAGACAGACAGGCAGGCAAATAGATAGATAGATAGATAGTAAACAGTATAAAATCTATCGATTGATAGATAAATAGCTAATGCACAGTATGGGATAGATAGATAGATAGATAGATAGATAGATAGATAGATAGATAGATAGATAGATAGATAGTAAACAGTATGAGATCTATCGATCGATCGATCGATTGATAGATAAATAGCTAAGGCACGGTATGAGATAGATAGATAGATAGATAGATAGATAGATAGATAGATAGATAATGAATAATATGAGATAGATAGATAGATAAATAGATAGATAGATAGATAGATAGATAGATAGATAATGAATAATATGACATAGATAGATAGATAGATAGATAGATAGATAGATAGATAGATAATCAACAGTATGAGATCTATCGATCGATTGATAGATAAATAGATAGATAATAAACAGTATGAGATAGATAGATAGATAGATAGATAGATAGACAGACAGACAGACAAATAGATAGATAGATAGATAGATAGATAGATAGATAATGAATAATATGACATAGATAGATAGATAGATAGATAGATAGATAATCAACAGTATGTGATCTATCGATCGATTGATAGATAAATAGATAGATAATAAACAGTATGAGATAGATAGATAGACAGACAGACAGATAGATAGATAGATAGATAGATAGATAGATAGATAGATAGATAGATAGATAGATATTGATAAGACTAATAGCTATCAAAGATACATAATGAACAGTTTCGCCTTTCTTTAAATTTTCCAGCTTACAATAAGATCCCTGTTGTTTTTTTTTTCTTTTAAATTCCCCGTAAGCACATATGATGATGGATACAAAAATGTATATTTCTCCTGTCAATTTTTTGGGTGGGAAAATCTATGGCGCCTTCTTTGAATTTCATCATAACTTCAAAAAAAATTAGAGAGTTGCAAAGGATCATGATAAAAAAAATATATTATTCAATGAAACATGTTTGAATAAAGATATGTCGCCTATATATATATATATATATATATATATATATATATATATATATATATATATATATATATATATATATATATATATATTATAAATAAATTGATTTAAAAATATGTTTTCTTTCGCTACACAGTTCTAACCATGTTTCAAAAATGGAAGCTAAAAGCTAAAGTATCCAAAATTCACTTGAGGATGAAATGGAACTAATGTCTTTAGTGTAATTACAAAATTAAATTCGAAGCTTTTAGCTTCCATTTTTGAAACATGGTTAGAACTGTGTAGCGAAAAAAAACATTTTAAATCAATTAATAATATTAGACCTCTGTAAATTTGCATTGAGCACTATTTTGTAAAAATAAAAATATCTATAAGAACACCGGATTATATATTCTTTCTTTTTATATATATATATATATATATATATATATATATATATATATATATATATATATATATATACAGAGAGAGAGATAGATAGAGAGAGAGAGAGAGCTAGAGAGAGAGAGATATGAACAGACTAAGATGAAAAGCCGCTGACTTTTGTCAAATCGAAGCAACCGGGTGTCTAGACACACTGATGAGCTGTTATACAACGAAACAGCCTGTTTGTGAATGACTATTTAGGTTCTCGTTCGCCGATTGTGTACTATGGAGAAAAGCGAAGTTTTAACAGATGCTGCTGCATGAGTGTATCACTCTTCATAAGAATTGAGTAGTATGGCAACCGATAAGTCGTTTATATAGCACGTATATAATGCGTTAAAAATGAACGTGCGCCGATAGTCTAGGGGTAAGATTCTCTAACTGATTTAGAATCGGTCGACTTTCGATCCAGGCTTGAAGCAATTGTTTTGTAGCCTCACTAATGAGCTGTGATACAGCGAAACAGGCTGTCTGTGGATGACTATATATATATATATATATATATATATATATATATATATATATATATATATATGTGTAGATGTATATATATATATATATATATAGGTATCAACAGGATGCATATATATATATATATATATATATATATATATATATATATATATATATTATAGAAATGAAAGTGTGTGGCTGAATATTACATGACATTTTAAAAACGAAGCAACCGGTTTCGCTCCCGTTTTTCAGGCCTCTACGGGACATTTAAATTTAGATTAAAACAACAGGAGAATGTGTAATGAAGAGGAAAAAAATGAACACAAAGAGCTAGAGACAAATAACAGCGAGCCCCAACAAACATTCACGCTGTTTACAGAGGGAAGGTTTGCGGGACCCGATATAAAGCGCCTCCAGCCCCTTGAGATGAAATACTGAGTGCGACTGGGACATAACAGTGAACCAGTCAACACTAAAATTAGCAGCACACACTCGGTTATTTAAAAGGTGCTCACATATGGCAGAATCATAAGTATTTGGGGCACGCTTATTCAAAGATAAGGTGTGATTCCTGATCTTGGTGGGAAAACGTTGTTTAATTCTCATGTCCAGCCGTTGAGTAGGTTCTCCCTATGTAATCAGCACCACAACTACAATTATATTTATAAACAATAGAATTAACTTGATGGGGAAGAAAAGCATCTTTGCACCCAGAACGAAACATAGAACAAAACATAGGCTGCGTTTGGAAAACTATACGAACCTCAGCTGAGAAACAACAACGACGAACATCTGCCTAGTTATGCTTACACATTTGGATTCTATCTAGGGAAGTCTAAGATGAACAAGACACCATTTAACTGTACAAAGTTTGACCTTTCTGAACTCCCTAATTTTGTTCTGGATGAACGAATGAACAGTATGGCGAGGGGATACCCTAAACCACATAAGGTTTCCTTCACAAAATTAATTTCATCATCCAAAAAAGACTCCGAACATCATTAATGCCCTCTGGGTTCTAATCATGTTTATCTTCCGTTTTCTAGGACAAAAGGAATCCCAACGCGTATATAATCCCGCAAACTTTGGCTTCCTATAAACCGAGGTGAGAAATGTTGTCGATGTCCGATGTACTAGAACATCCAAGAAGGCTAGTTGAAAATTATATTCCTTCTCGACTGTAAAGCTCAGCGTTGGATGAATACCATTAAGAAAAGAGAGAAACTGATCAGCCTCAACTACATTATATATATATATATATATATATATATATATATATATATATATATATATATAAAGAGAAAGAGTGCGAAAGAGGGGGGGAGATAAACAGACTGTGATAGATATTGGTAAGTGAGATAGCGATCTGTATATATAGATAATGCATAGAATTATATATATATATATATACCCAAGTATATGATTGGTACATACGGAATTAATTCCAATAGCCAACAATTACTATTCTTAAAAGAGTGCTCGATTATTGAGTAGAGCAGATATAATTATTTATTTAAAAATTATAACATAAATATGTTATAAAATCACTACAAAAATAGCCATTTTGTTTCAACACCTCCGGTGTCATATCAAGTGATGATGTTGAATGTAAAAATGATGTCAAATGTAAAGATTTCTACATTCAACATCATCACTTGATAAGACACCAGAGGTGTTGAAACAAAATGGCTATTTTTGTAGTGATTTTATTACATATTTATGTTATAATTTTTAAATAAAGAATTATATATATATATATATATATATATATATAGAGAGAGAGAGAGAGAGAGAGAGTAAGAGAAAGAGAAAATAATAGCCGAAAAGATTAATATACATCTGTACATATATCGAGAAACGGCTGTTCTTATCCGAATGTAAACGTCTGATTGGTTGGCTAACTAATCCCTGTGTTTGACACCTTCTTAGGCGTATTTGCATGTGTTCACCACCCACAGAGCAAAAATATGTTTTATTGCCATTATGCTAACCAAAGACTGCATTATCTGCCCTCATAAGTAGTTAATCAAGGCCAGCATGCTGAAATTCGTTAATACGATGACTTGCGACTTTGCGTTAGTACAACTATCAAGAGCTTTTGAGCAGTTTCGTCTACCCAGTTTAACAGAGAACAGTGCTGCATGTCGGCTTCGTCTCCCCGGGCCGATATATCAAGAAGTCACGTCATTGACAAAATGACCATGGTGAAATTCGAACACTGGACTCGCGGTTGGAATACTAACATTGTATCCGCTTGGGCACGTGACCATATATACGTATATCTCACATACATATTGGCTACTGCCTAATAATCGAGTATATGCATTGCTTGATATTAATCACGACCTATGTAATGATTTGCGATTAAATATTTGTTTTTCTTGCCTAGCCGATGAGCCACATTGCCAGTAAAATGCACGAGTCTCATTTTAATCAGCGACAGCATCCAGCATTTGAGCTGAAACACTTCCAGAGTATTGCTATCTGTATAAGCAACATTTTTAGTCATCAATGAGTTAGGTGTCCCTTTAGGCTACGACAAAGTAAGATGTTACCATATCGAGAGTTTTTATGCATGACATTCTTTTATAGTGAGGATTGACTGCACTGAGGGAAACCCACTCTCTGAGCATCAAACGCAATAAACCTAAAGACGTGAAAGTGTACCTCATTCCTTATGGTGAGGCACGGATGCTACATCAATGTATTCTTTCTCTTAACCAAATATATTAACGAAGTCTAAGGGGCCCAACACTACAAGTGAACTGTGTGCTAGATGACCACAAGAATAACATGTCTTGTTTTTTAATCTTTCAAGGTATCCCATCGCACTAGTAACAGGGAGTATTGAATTACGTCTTACTAGGAGCTCACTTAGAGTGACATGTCACGTGTATACTGGCTATTTACATTATTCGGACTATTGTCTTCATCTTTGTTGCCATATTTATCACAACGTTTCGGCCGTTGTACGCTCCGGCGTTCTTCAGGTGGATGGAATGTCGAACTGAACCCTTTATTTCGCTCTCTCGCTCGCTGGATTAAGGACACATGTCACAGTGGATAAAGGCGTTGATTAGATCCAGTGACATTGTGAGTTCAATGCCTGGATAAGGCAGTGGAGAATTTGGAGAGGTGAATTAACAGTATATAACTAATAACTGACATCCATTAGACATGGCACGGGAAACTAGAACAGTCTACCCCTAGCGAGCGAAAAATAAAGAGTTCAGTTCAGCATTCTAGCCACCTGAAGAAGGTCGGAACGTACAACGGTCGAAACGTTGTGATAAATATGGCAACAAAGATGAGGACAATAGTCCGAATAATGTAAATAGTGTACATAATACCTTATTTCATAAATATAGACGTATACTGTCTGCCTACTAGATTTGAACATGACCTCTTCCTTACATAAGGTACCTGTAACGTAGATTAGAGTGATAGAGGCTTTTGCAACACGAATACCACTCTCTAAACATCAAATAGCATAATCCATTGACAAGGACGCGCTGGATGACTGGTGATAGCTTCAGTTGTCCTTCTTATAGGATTGTTGCCAAACCAAGTTAGCGACCGGACAGTCCTACTATTTACCCCATAGCTGAGTGGAGAAGAGATATATTCATACCTTCCCAAAGGGTATTTGTCCGATAATGAAACTTCGTAGTGTTTTTTCTTTTCCTATTCTCGTTAAAACATTCTCGTTGCTAGCATGTTCAGTCGATGCTATCTTCAGCCTTCTTCTGTAGGACAAAGGCTTACGACTATATCACACTGAGACACGGATTCTCGTCCGATCACTGAAATTAATCAACGTCGAACATTGCCAGTAGCATGATGGGTGACCTTTTGGGAATATCACGTGTGCCGGGAAGCTTGGATGTGCGGGTGATGTAATGGATATCGGCTCGGAGTTTGAACTCAGAGAATCGAGTTCCAATTTCTGTTGGATTCGTTAAATTCACTGGCGCCCAAATACTCTTAGGAATGGTAAGAATGCGCCGGTTATCCATCCAGCTATATTAGAACTTGGATCAGAAAATCATTATTATCTCAACATAAGCCTTACAATCAGAAAAGTAACCTGAAAAAAACTCGATATGATCTAAAAAACGAATCAATGTGCATAACAGTTCTAGTCCGATCACTGAAGTTAAGCATCGTCGAGCATGGTCAGTACCAAGATGGGTGACCTCTTCTGAATATCACGTGCTGTAAGCATGGATGTGCGGGTAATGTAATAGATATACTGAGAATATGCAAAGACTTAGGGACAGTCAGACTCCTGAACAAGGCGAACTTCCAATCATGAGGCCTTTGTAAGAACTTGTTTAAATGTCGTCCGATGGGGCGGCTTTTACGCTAAAGACTTAATAAAACAAAGCACCAAAAAATGTACATAACTATGTATATCAAAACTGGCTGAAGTAGGTATAGTCAAATGTCAAACATATATTGGGAGGTAACCGCCTCCTTTTCGTTAAACAATCATTTCAATCAATATACAAAAGTAAAAAAAAAAAAAATGATAAGACAAGGATGTGTCTTCTCGCCGGACTTAGTCAACCTTTTCAGAGAAGCAAAGAAAGCGAATCTAGATCAGACAAGGCCATTTAAAAAGAAAACATAACAACTTATGGTACGAGGAGAATTTGAAACACGTTTCTGTTGTTTCAAGTCATGTCTTCAAAGAAATGTGCATGACTTACTTTTCATTTGTTTATTTTCGTCGAACCTTTCAAATATGTTTTTTTCAAATTCTGGTCAACAAATAAAACACGCCGTGGTGTCAAATAACATTCATTATGTTTTCACTCGTTCAAATCTGCTCTACACCGAGAAAAGCAGAAGACACGCCTTAACAGGCAATCAGAGTAAATAACGACAGAAAAAATGGAAATTCCGAGATATGAGTGTACAACGGTAAAGAAAAACAAAACAGGTTAGTTTGGCTTTGAAGTTCTCAGTTCAAGGCCAAGTTACCGCTTTGTCAGAAGATATGTTAATATACATCTTAGAATATAAGAGAGATAAGTAATCAATAATAAATAAAATCATTTAGAATCTGTGTATCTGAAAAAAGAGAAAACAGTATAATCCATATATATATATATATATATATATATATATATATATATATATATATATATATAGGGATCGTACTGTTTTCTCTTTTTTCAGATACACAGACTCTCTCTGTCTGTCTGTCTGTCTCTCTCTCTCTCTCTATATATATATATATATATATATACACACACACACACACATATATATATATATATATATATATATATATATATATATATGATAAGAAGACGGAGAATTTAATTATCAATTTCGTTTATAATTTTTGTTTGCATGAACACCGAGATATTCATCTCACCATAACCACAACCTGCTGCACCTATATATATATATATATATATATATATATATATATATATATATATATATGGATTATATTGTGTTTTCTGTATTTTTCTGATACACAGACCCTCTCTCTCTCTATATATATATATATATATATATATATATATATATATATGTGTGTGTGTGTGTGTATATATATATATGTATATATATATATATGTATATATATATATATGATGATAAGAAGACGGAGACTTTAATTATCAGTTTCGTTTATAATTTTATTTGCTTGAACACCGAGATGTTCATCTCATCATAACCGCAACCTGCTGCACCTAATATATATATATATATATATATATATATATATATATATATATATAAGCACTAAACTAATTGAGTTTCATTTTCCCAGGTTTTCAGATAAGAAGTTTAGTCATCTTGATACCATTTATCGTAAGAATCACTGAAAGGCTCTTTGAGTTATTCGGCTAGAAATAGAACACGTTAAAATCGTTTTGTGTCAGCCTCATTGTCTTCCCAACTGAGCAATGTTGAGAGGAAAAAGATCATCCCGGACATCAGTATTGATACCAACATTCCTACGCTTGCATCGATCTTCAAAGTCCATTCAAGAACCGTGAATATGTTTAAAGAAAAAAAAACTGGATCAGAAGGTCACAACAGCAAAGCGGATAACTTCAACTTAGAGCTACAGAGATCAATTAGAAACGATACAATAAGAGAAAAAATCCAATCAACCATAAGACGTTTGGCACGTGAGAGAAGAGTTTCAGCTATGAAAGTCCAAAGTTCAATGAAAAAAAACTTGAAAAGGAAATCATACGTGAAACCTCCGAGGTACCTTGTTACTCCAAGACAGAATGTTAGAAGGTTAGAAGGCGAAGACCATCTTGAAAAAGTTGGAAAATGATCCTGAATATATATATATATATATATATATATATAATTTATATAACTTCATGAGCTTCCGATTTTTAACTATGATTAATTAATGAGGAACATGTTATATTCGTTTATGGTCGATGTCATCACAATTCTTCTGTTGCTTGGAGAGTAATTATACCATTCTTATTATTCAAAATATACTCCGATGGAACGGTTCAAAGCTTAATCTAATGGACAATTTTTTGTTTACGGCACATATATATATATATATATATATATATATATATATATATATATATATATATATATATATATATATATATATATATATATATATATATATATATATATATATATATATATGTGACTCATTGGGGCACGGTCCGTTGGTATGACTCTGATGAATCACACGACGGAATTTGTGAAGAGCTGGCAATATATTGAGTCTGGTTTGTTACCTCTCCACCATCGAGACATTTTAGTCCAGTGGGTATGACGCTTTTGGCATGTCACAACGGCCAGGGTTCAATCCTCGGTAGTGGATGCACATTGCTGATGAGTCCTCAAAATAGGACGAAACGGACACCCAGTGCATTCTGCTGAAGATTCTTCTACACTCGATGAATTAATTATAACTATTCAAATTCCCCTTCAGTCATATATATATATATACGAATTAAATTCTTGGATACGAGATTATATATATATATATATATATATATATATATATATATATCATTCTTGAATACGAGATAAAGCCAAAGATATAAACATACATATATATATCATCGGCTTTATCTCGTATCCAAGAATTTAATTCCTTCATTGTTTTTCCCTTCCTTTATGATGACTAAATTCGCCACCCACGTGCAGATTTGAGACTAGAAGCTTCCATTTTTACCAATATCTGCTCTTTGAGGGTGAAAGAAAATCAGAGTAGGAGAATGTGCCGATGGCGTGAATTTGTTTATGGTGGCCTTCAACTTTTTCGGGAAGTTATCCATAGACTTGATTTCATGGCCTTCATCTGCGGCACAGACATGCAGAATCCAGTCATTTAACTGGAACGGACTGCCGCTAACTATAATTTCGAGCGGCGCCATCTATAACATATCCGCCATGCGTAGCTATCTTCGTCCGCTAGTTCAAAGGTTGAGATCTGTTGTGACCGTCACCGCTTGTTCCATCGTTGGGGTATTTGAGGTTGGTCGCGCTTGGTCCTCGTCTTCATCCTAGCCGCGACGTGTTCACCCTAGAACTTCCAACAGCATCGCTCTCAAAGTCATTGGACCCCACAAGCCTATCCACCACGACAAGCTGAGTATCAGAGGACATATCATCATTTGCGCGTGCTGGTCTTGTTTAGATTGTTGATCCCGCTACATAACACGTTTCTCTCCCAGAAACTGTAACTAAGCTCTGCTCAGCATATTTGCAGTACAAACCACAGTTTACGGTAGCTGTCACTGTGTTGCTATGTACACTAGGTTACATTTGTTATTCGTGTATATTTGTGTCTAGTTTGTTTTCAACGTTTAACGTGTATTTTAGTGAATTAATTGAGAATTGTTCCGTTTAACAATGGCAAGATATAAATATCGTAAGCAGACTGATATGATTTTTCACATACGGTCGCGCGAATGTTAAATAGACGCGAGGCTGCACTGCCGTATCAGATAGCCTTTCCAGCTCGAAGGCAGCCAAGTTATCCAACATTTGCTGCTGTTTATCGTCGCGTTGCTGAAACAGGATCCGTTGAACCACATACTATGCACTGAGGAACACTGAGATCCGCTCGTACGCCCTACCACTAAGAACACATTCTCCATTCTGTCGAGACAATGAGGCAAAAAAATCAAGAGTCTCCTTGGAATAAGAAAAATATGTTAGTGTGTTTTTGATACTAATGCTGACTTAATCGGACACAACACCTTGTTTTGGATACCGTCTCAAGACAAATCCCAGTTTCTGTGGTCAATAAATTATTCTAACCATTATTACAGGCGTTAGTACTGTACGTGTATGGGCGTCATTTGTTCGTCAAAGCCTGTAAACATCTCGTCGATTATTTTTCATCTTTCGGAGGCCGTTAAATTGAGACATTAATATGCGAAATAAAAATGTCTCAATCAATAGTACCAACCAGTGCAATTTCGATTAATGTCGATGCAGAACTTTACAAAGAGAAATTCTATGATCTGCTTGAACATTAAAGTGTAAACAAAGTTCTTTTTCTAAAAGAACAAATGCCTGAGAAAATTAATAGGAACGCCCAACGACGTACTATTGAAAACGATAATATATTTATACTTTTATTATTAGTAAAGGGCGACGTTCAGTCATTATTTAACAGTGTAATATAATTTACCTAGCACTGATCACCTTCTTTAATGTATCTTGTCCCTTTATTATATTACGCGTTCATCGCTTTCCATCACTTCATATTCTTTATAGGTTTAAGCAATTGTGATACATTTATTATCCCTCCCATTCATTCTATCTTATGTCATCTTTTTTCACATAGGCACCTTAGCTAAATTACTTGCTGTTTTTCTCTGTCCTTCTTGCCTGAATAAGTCCTGCGATGTAAGGTACTTGTTGCTTTTCTATGCATTTCTTGCTTCAATAAGTTCTGCAATGTAAGATACTCGTTGTTACTCTATGCATTTCTTGCTTCAATATGTTCTGAGAGGTAAAGTACTCATTGTTTCTCTCTGTCGTTCTTGCTTCAGAAAGTTCCATGAGGTAAGGTACTTGCTATTTCCCTCTGCCATTGTAGCATCAATTAAGGTGAGGTACTCGCTGTTTCTCTTTGCCCTTCATTCTTTAATAAGCCCTGCGAGGTAAAGTACTCATTATTTCTCTCTGCCGTTCTTGCATCAATAAGTCCTGCCAGTTGATTTACTCGCTGTTTGTCTCTGCCATTCTTGCATCAATAAT